AATTTTTCATTTTTTACAACAAATAAATTGGATGAGTAAACTAGTATTTGGTTCGCCATATGTTTTAGTGTGAATGTACATAAAGTTTGACATGAAGGTGACAAAGGATCTACTAATGGAAAAACTTTGCTGATTTGTGAGGTCTACCACTTGTCATTCAATACCAAGTATTATAGGCATTTCCCATGATTAGCATCTAGAAATGATTGACTTAATTGAATTCCTGATTCACAAATCTTCTTCCATCAATGTGCATGTTTGGTCAAACTTAAAATAAGTAAAAGTATAAATCACTTATAGTTTGCAAAAGTACATGGATAACACCAATGCTCATAAAAACCGATGCCAAATATTTTTATTTAAAATTAATAATGAAGCAAAAAGCCAAATATCCAATACAAAAGAAATAAGAAAAAGAGAACACGAGAATTTATGAGATTTGATAAAATTTACCTACATCAAATAAACACCACAAAAGCCACCTAACTATCTTCAAAAGTGAAAAGTGAAATAGTAAAATTACCCCAGAAAATAAGAGATGAAATGCTCTTTATTTCCTTGAGTACTAGCTAGACAACACATTTTCTTAATTGTGTCTAATACGAAGTATGATTAAGTCTTTTTAAAATTGTTGTCATAAGAGACCTCTCTTCATATAGCATCCGTTGTTGTACAAGACAAAAAGAGATAATAATTCGTAATTTGAAATTCAACAAGCGCCATGACCTACACATATTATCACAGTCCCCCAGGCGATAATGTCTTATGTTCATCTTTATTAAACTAAGAATATCGAATACTCGATTGAGATCTAAACTATCTCCATTGTGTTAGGATTGTGTTACCATGGAGATTGAGCTACCACGAGAGTTCAATATCACAAAATATCTCTCAATCGCAATTAACTCATGTTCGCACCCTTATTTGTATCTTTTGCATGTCTTCAAAGGTTTCTTGTGTACATCCAAGTGGTTCAGTCTAAAGAACTTGCAATACCACTTGTGTGGAGACATATAATTCCATTCGAAAATGCTAACCTGTTAGGTGCTTGCTTGGTAATACTTTTAAGTGTTTATTAAGTTTTGGATCTAAATAAGTTGTGGACATTATGAATTGTATAGGGAAAAAACATATTTGACCAGCTTAAAAAATTAAGCTTTGTCAAACATGAACTTAAGGACTAGATTAGAAGTATATTACTATCTAAGGCCTAGATTGAAAGTATATTACAAACTAAGGCCTCACTTTTGTAAATTGCATAAAACTAACTGTGTTTTCTAGAATCCCAAAATACACTTCTTTATACTTATATTCTAACTCAAACACACCCCAAGTAGTCCCCATGCTGCCAGCCCCCAAATTGCGCAGTTGCCCTACTATATTCATGTATGCCATAATCCTCCACTTTGAGTGGTGGTGTTGAGGATAAAAGGAATTCAAGTTGAAATTAATAATCAATTTTGACTCGATCAATTGTATCAAGTTTAACTACCTTGATTTCTATGTTGACAAGAGTGAAGTCGATTTTGACGAATTTTAGGAAGCAGGTGATCTTTCATGATAAAATATACAAAAAAGACATTTCAAATTAAAATTAAGAAATATTTTATATTCATATTCTTGACTCAAAGGCAAGAGTAAATTATATAAATATCTCTCGGAGTTTATGATAATTACAGAAACACTGCCCTTCAAAAATTTCATGAATTACCCTTGAGTTTCATTTTTGTAAGTTGTAACAGATTCCACTTTGTCAATTAAAAGTAGGAATAATTGTAGTAAAAGCTCAAAATCCTTGAAATATTAACAGATTTGAAAACATTTGATTTGTTGCAACCGTCATCCATAATATTTTCAAACGTTGCAAGTGAAATCCTTTTGGACAGTTTTCATCCAGAATTTCATCAGTTAATCAAAAAATTTAACTTTGACCACATTATAATCAATTTCAATGAGATTAAAATGGTAATTTTATATTTACCGCGTTAAATTACAAAAAAAAAAAAACAAAAGGGAATAACGATACCTTCTTCTTCCCAAAATAGAGCTACAACAAACAGAAAACTCTAAATTTCATTTTTCAAAACTGGATGAAAATAAGTTAAAAAGTACTTTTTCTTTCAAAACCTAAAGGAAAAAAACTTTTTTGTAGGAAAACTGAAAATAGGCACTAGATAGAAGTACTCCGACAGTGATTTTAGGGAGAGAAAATAAATTCTAAGGCGAGGAGACGAGGAGCTTTGGAAAAGGAAGAAATGGTGAGGATAGTAGAGACCAAATGCTTCAGTTTTACTTTTAATTGCCCCTTTCATTATAGTGATGGAAAAAAAACCCGCCCTGCCTTGCCCCGTTCCGTCTCGAATGGGGCAAAGAACCCATCACGAATGGGTTGGTAGGGCGTGATTGGGTGTGGGGCGGGGTAAGGCGGGGGTGCCCCGTGAAGGGAAAAAAATAAAAATAATTTAAAAATAATTTTATTTTTAGACAATTCATCTGTTAAAAACTCATTTTGAATTTGTATTTTATTCTCTAATAATAACATAATTCGAAACTTTGAAAATGTAAAAAATAAATAAAAAAAAATTTAAACGGAGCAAAAAGTTTATCCATCCATTCTATTTTAAAATCCCTATTACCATACTTAAAACTTTATATTTTTCCCTTCTTAATTCTTAAGTTATATCTTTTCATACTGTTCATTTAGATGAAATCATACATTTTATAAGGTTAATATAAATAAAATTTTTCTTTCAAATATGATTAAAAAATAATTAACAAATCATCATAAACAAATGTTATAGAATAATTTAGTAATGCTTGTTGAAAATTTTAATACCATTATGATATAATCATAAAATTTATAATAGTATTAATTAAATGTATATTTTTCAAATATGATTGACAAATAATAACAAATAAACATAAATAAATCTTTTAGAATAATTTAAAGTTAGTTTAAATTTTAATACCATTATAAATATTTTTTGTAAAATTAGTAAAATTACTAAATATGAATTTTTTTTCAGATAGACATATACTTAAAATGTCAACATAGATAAAATTCTTAGAATAATTTAATAAAAATCTAGTTGAAAATTCATTAAATATTTTATAGTTCTTAATTTAGTAGCAATTATCCATAGTTATTAAAATTAGATTGGATTGGTGGACCGGCGAACCAGGGAGCAAGTTCGGCTCCCGTATTGGATAGAAGAGCAAAAGACGCAGTCAAGAAATAGATAAACCGAATTTGATCGAAAATCGTAACATGGTCACTATGAACCGGTCCAACATCAAAGCTGTCAAGACTAAAGACATTTAATAGCTTTGAAATTATGCTGCAAGAAGTTTTCAACCTTGGTCTCTAAGGTGGAAAATCCCACTTGAAACAACTGATACACCAAATTCATGTTTATGCATGGACCTAAATATATATCAAGGTTTAAGTTCCTACAAGAAAATTATAATTACAATTAAAAAAGAATATTAAATTATATATAACATATATTTGTTTTCTTTTTTTTTTTTTATTTAAATTTGAAATTCATCATTGACCCAATGATTCAATTAGTGATATAGCGATTGAACTAGCGATCTAGTAATCCGTTGATTTTTTTGGATCGACGTTAGGATCGAATTTGATAACTATGACATTTCTCTATTTTATTTTATTTTTTACATTTTCCGTGGTCTTGACATTTATTCTATACTATGTTGGAAAATTGATGAAATAAAAATTATGGATGCCAAATGGGGGCATAATTATAGAAATGGAAAAAAGTTAACATCAAAAGTTGAAACCTCGGATTCTTTTTAGTCAATCTTTTTATTGAATATATTAGATCAATAAATGAGAAATCAATATTAAGAAAAATATGTATAAGATTAAATAAATATATTCAAAAAATAACTAAATTTATTTTTGTCTAAATTAACATCAAGAGAAAAAAAAATAAGAAAGAGAATATAATCGTAAAAGAGGAAACTAAGCATCCGTATTTAAATTATGCTAAACATCGACATGACAAATTAATCATTTATAGTAGGTCTCAATTTTTAAATTAAATTTGTTATCACCAATGAATCCGTGTACCATATAAGTGTTTAACTCATATAATCATCTCTATATAAGTATATCATATCATGCTATGCATCATGCTTAGCAATCATCTTCATAAAAGTATACAGTAAGAGAGAGTGATAGTAACATGGGAGGTTTTCGAAGTTTTTGTAAATAATTGGTGTCTGATTTTCATAAATTTTAACAGAGATTTCTGAAATTTGGTGTAAAAGTAAAAAGAGGTTTAGTTAAGGACATATATTGATACCTAAACACAAAAAGATGGCACGATTGATAGGTTAGATTCAAGAGTATAGTAGAAGATCGAACAATTATTTTTGTGTGTTACCACAAGAGCTACTTTTCAAGATTGTTTATCAAACACATTATAGTCAACATGTTAAGTGGGCAAATATATTTTCTTAATAGTTGACATGTCATACACGAACGTTCAAGTGGGAAATTGTTTTTTGTTTTATAATTGTAAATGAAATTAAGAAAATAACATTTCCCTACTTATTTTGCAAGTAGGCAATCGTTGATAGAGCAATTTTGGGCTCGGTATTGTTATAGGATGTGTAATAATTGAGAACGATATATTTAGAGAGTGACTTTTAGTAAATTATACGAAGTTATATTCTCGTAATCATTTTCATTTTAATTTTATGGATAAACTGACGATTCTCATGCTATGAGTTCGATCGGGAATATTAAATATTATTCTAATCAACATATATGATACCTTCCTTTCACCAAAGGGAAATATATAATATGGACGACACCTTCCTTTCTCACCTTGACTCAGTTCAAAGCTTCAAACACTGGACAAGGTTTACTTTGACCAATACTTTTCTAACCGGGCCATACTCTGGCCCCAACACCCAACCCCCACTCCAACTCATTGTGATATAGAGAGAGAGAGAGAGAGAGAGATTTCTCTGTTATACTTTTCTGTATCTATTTGTCTCAAATGAACTACTTTTCAAGATTCATTAATCTTTTGCCCCCCTTTTGGGAAATTTTCTACTTCTTTTTATACCATCTGTGTCCTCCTTCCTCACCTACTAATAATACTTTTCAATCCCCTCTCCCTTCCCCACCCCCTCTTAATCCCTCAAATAAATTATTTCACTGCTGATGAAGGATTTCTGCATATAAACATGCATGGGAATATGCATGAATATATGCATAAAGTTTGAAGAAGAGAAATTCTGAGGTAAATATGGTAGATTTTGAAGCTACCAATCTCATCCAGAAGCTGCAAACTTGAACTCACTGCTGCATACAACTTCTTTCATGGACTCAATATTTCAGCAAAGTGAAGGAGAACGCGCCGCCTTTCTCCAACATATGATGCAATCTTTTGGTTGCAGTTATATTTGCCTTTGGTCTTTCTTACCGCAGCCAGACAAGTCTGAATCTCTCTCTCTATATAGATTCTTTCTATTTTTCGCTGCGCGATTTGATGATTTTTTCTTTATATTATATATGATTTTTGTGTGTTCGTGTGCTAAACAGATGCTTAATATATTTGGATGGAGCATACCACGAACGAAGCAGCCAAGCAAGTTCATCGTCTGGAAGTAGTCTTGTTCGGAGGCTTTTCGACGCATACTGTCAATCACCATACTATGTCGATAACGGGTATATATAACATTATACACACAATTTTTGCTTATAATTAGTTAATGAATTAACGGAAATTGTATTATTTCCAGGAGGGTTCCTGGAATTGCTTTCAAGAATAATCTTCCTTACATGGAGCTGAATTTACAAGACCTTCTAGGAATGGTATCCAACGAAGTTCAGATGCAATTTTATGTGGTAATTAATTCTGTTTTAGTTTAACACTTACATTTCAGGGTATTGTTATAGTTAATTAATTCTACATTGTATTATATTGATACAGGCAGCTGGGATTAAGGTTTGTATTTTCAAAATACTCAGCAATTGTAATTACTCATTGCATTATGGTGAACGATAATAAATGAAATGTTTTGTCTATAGAATGTTGTGTTTATGGGGTGCGCCAAGGGAGAGATCGAGCTTGGCATGTCCGGTGACGCTCGAGTAAGGAAAATAATATCAATCACTTGACGTCCATCCAATAGGTATGGCATCAATTTTCATTTAACGTGATCAGTTTTTTTAATTTTTCAGGTGGGTTTGGAAATGGAGGTGAAAAATTGGTTCCCTCTTGATTTCTCTAGACAACTAGAACCTAGAGAGGATCCTCAGAAAACAGATCAAAAGCGAGGTTCATCATCTTCGTCATCTCTGAGGTCATTGTCAGTCGACAGTTCCGAGTACTCTTCTCTACTTTTTAACATTCCGGCCGCTTCTTTCATTCTACCAGAGGCCTCAAAAGCCCCTCTTGTTGAGAACACGACTGCTCTCGGATTATTAACGGTCCCATCATCTTCAATCACAACTAGCCCTCTTCACGAAGCCATCCATAGCTTAACCCAAATGCGAAGCAATCAACTTCCAACGGTAGAAAACGAAGATGCAGCAATAACAAAGGCAATTCTTGCTGTATTATCTTCGGATACTTCATCAACGCCGCTTTATCAAACGACGCAAAATATCCCTCACATTCCTCCAATAATAATCCATAACCCTAGTGCATTTTCAAGTTACAGGCAGGGTATATCCTCCACATTAATACCAATTGCAGCAAGAACCAGCAAAAAACAGAATTTGTTAAGGAGAGCAATGTTATTCTTCAGAAACTTGGACATTATCCGAAGGCAACAAGAACAAGTCCAAGTCGGAAAACACCCCTCGATGACGCAATTACACCACATGATATCTGAACGAAGAAGACGCGAAAAATTAAATGAAAGCTTTCAAATTCTGAGATCGTTTCTCCCCCCAGGATCAAAGGTCAGATACAATGTACTACCAATTCTATAAATGAACAAAATCTCTTTTCAAAAATGAATAATCATTGTTTTTGTTTTTTCCTATCATACAGAAGGATAAGGCTTCAGTGCTTAACAACACTGTAGAATACTTGAGTTCATTGAAAAAACAGGTGGAAGAACTTGGTAAGAAAAACCAGATATTGGAAGCTCAGATTTTGCCTCCAAGATCAGAAGCCATTGGAGATGATCCTAATCAAATGAGGGGTTCTTCATCAGTTGAAAGGCTGACAAATGTTCAAATTACGCGTGTTTCGACTTCAACGTCGGAATCAAGAATGTTGGATGTGAATGTGACAATAAATGGAGAATGCAGCTTGCTAGATTTGGTTATTCGCATCACAGAGTTCTTGAAATCACAGAATAACTTAAGCTTGATGACTATAGAAGGCAACACCAGACCAATGGGAGAATCGACTAATTCAGTGCATGGAATCATGTTCAGATTGAGAAATGAGGTATATATAATTATATTTATCGAATTATCTATTCAGGAATCCATTTTTTTTCATAAGAGATATGAACCAGAAATGCGTGGATCAATAATAAACTGCATGGCTTCTTGTGTTCTTTGCTAATAGAACTTTTCCCATATTGATATTGTGATTTCATGTGATGAAAATATACTTTCTAATTAATAAGGAAGATTGTATTTCATAGGATGATGGGACCTCTTTGGAGACCCCCCCCCCCTAGGGGCCTTAATTTGGCATTCATTGATCACGTGCCGCCATAGAAACTTGTCCAATAAGTGAAATGTATTAGTCGTCTATTCTCATATTGAATAGTAAAGGTCGGAGAAATATGGGAACTAAGCATCTATTTGATTTTTATTATTTCCAAATTCATTTTCAATCACACATTTTCTAATTAAATATTTTGCATCTAAACCCATATTTTTTTTCCACTTTTTAACCAAACATTTTCCAAAAATTCACCATTATAAAATTCATTTTTATGAAATGATGGACATCAAACAGGGCCTAAGGTTGCATAACATTGCATGTTTAATTGTTTAACGTAAATAATGTTATTTGTAGTCGTTTACTGTTGTACTTGCCCTACGTGGTAGACACGTGAAGGTTAATAATTTGATGCATAAGATAATAAAAATCTATCACATTAATGCATCAAATCACTAATCATTGCATTTATACAACGTAGCAAATAGCATTACTCTTTTAACGTGTGATTAAACTTCAAAAATTAGAATATATTTGGTAGGCAAGATTAGACGAAAATTTTATTGCTTTACAATCAAACAAAGAAAATATACTATAAATACATAGTTTTTTTTTCCAACATTGCATGGTACTCACCCCACCATCAACAAAGGTGATTACAATAAAGTAAAGAGGTAATTGCAAGGAACTTCACAAATTTCACAAGTTTCCAAATGTTATTCTTGTATATTGACATTTCATGAGGAAAGTTGGCATTAGAAAATTATAAAAGATTTTGATCATTGTGTAATTTTGTTTGTTTGCAGGGAGAAGATTTTGACGAGTCTAGTTTCCAAGAAGCTGTAAAAAGGCTCGTTGATGACGAGACAAGGTGACCAGGACCAGCCACCTGTCATGTTCCACTGTGGCGGCGGCGCTGGGCTGAAGTAGTGTGGTGGTTCATCAGTTTTTCCACTAAAAGTTTAGGTTTTGCAATTTCAAACATATGACTTATTACTTGTTTGTTCCACAATTTTGGTAGAGTTATCTTATAAAAAATCAGTTAATTCCATAAGTTTCTATCTCGTTCATGAACTTATATTGTAAATGAATTTGTTCTAACAACACAAAGATTTGTTTTAATGAATTTAGATTCAATTATATAAATAAATTTTAGAATTTTATTCAATTGAAATAAAAAAATCAATTTAGAATAATAAACAATATTTTAATTCCGTAAATTTAGGGTTTGAGTAATTGACTAACGAATATATTAGCAGGACGATAAAAACAACAAATAATATTTTTCTATTAATAAATTTAGAATTGACTAATCGACAAGAATCATTATTTTCTATTAGGCTCAATTTATTGCTATTTCTACTAAAAATCTATCTTGCAACATAATCATTAACAATCTATCTAGCAATTTCTATTAAAAAAATGAAAAAATTATTTAACAACTAATTTGAAGTGAATAAAATTCTTGTGTTGCCGATCTTGACTGCATACTAATTTCTAAAGACCATGTGGGGTCACATGCATAAAAAGAATATTAATAGTGTCCAACAAAGATTGATAGAGCCATTCAAACATGGTCAAAATGTCAAACAAAAATACATTTTTCTCTTGAAAAAGGCATGTCTCACCTCATCAAACATTGCTTTCATGAAACTAATTCAATTAATTAAGGGATTGAACAACTTTAATATATAATAATTTTTCTTTAAACATTATGTCCCCGTTCCGTATTGATTTATGTCAGATTTTAATTTAAATCAAAATCGAACAATCAATATTAACCACAATTTTTAAGGGTTTCACAACTTTTCAACTACACACTTCAATTTTTTTAAATCAAAATCAACTAAAAATTTAATTTTAATTCCCACCGAACGGGGATTGTACCAAGAAACCCTGGTACTTATTGCAATAATTTCTTCCTCTCTTTTTTTCCCTGATGTTTCTATGTTTTCTTGATTTAGTCAAAGATTTCTAGGTAGAAATCGAAGAAATAACTAGAGGCGACGGTTTTGATCAATCGGTATTTGTTCCCAAGGAAGACCGGATCTAATCAAACAGTGGATTTGAGTAATCTGATTCTTAAGAAAATGAATGGTGTCTGAATTTTTCTTCATACATCTTCTAGAGCATTAGATATTTTCTTTATATTAACTTATAATTTAATTGCTTTAAATGTGTTATCGTCTAAAGTTATATACGGCAATTGTTATCTTATACCACCCTATAGATAGCCTATTATTGGCACCTGTTTATAAATATTTAAATTATTTTTTATTTATACATTTAACGAGATTTATAAATACTATCCATCTATTCACCATTCATTTTTATTTATTTATGGAAAAAAAACATGTTTTATCATAAAAAAGAAAAAGAAAGAAAACAAAAGATTGATACAAACCAAGTAATAAAAATTACATTTTCTCTGATAAATATATGTATAAAAAATTAGAGAACTTGTGGTTTCAAGATGGCACGGTGGAGATGGACGCACTCCAACTCATCCAACATCTTTAAATTTGGAAATATATATTTGCGCCTCATGGCTCGCTAATTTTTGATATTGTAATGCTACTTAATGGAATAAGGTGTGATTTTGTACGATTTTATACATAGAGATATAAATAATACAGTCCATTTGTCTATCTCTTTTGCAATTACTATCGAGCCAATTGGGATTGGATCGATTTTATACAAGTTTCATTTCATTTGCGATTTGCGACATTTCATTATAATAAATTTATATTTGATCCAAAAAAAAAATAGAGAAAAAATGGGTTGATATAGATATTAATGCAGTGTTGGCCCCATTCAGGGGTGCAATCTTTATAAATTAAGATAAGATGAATCCTAGTTCACATATTATGGCCACAATAAACCACAATATTATAAATGAAACTCTTGTACGTACCTATTTTATTTTTAATTTTTCATTCAATATTGTTTTTTGGGCCCAAATATATATATATATTTCAGTAGGAGATAAAATTTTTACAAAGGGAGGCATATTACACGATCAATAAAATTAATAAAATATGTTCTTTCTTTGTTCTACTTTATTCTAGAATACTTATTTATTATTATTATTATTATTTTAAATTTTTTGGGTCAAAGAAATTTTCAATGGAGATATAGAAAATACAAGAAAAACCTTCCACTTTTGTTTGAAATTCAAAATAAAAATCTAAGCACGGTCATAATATTCCTTGGACTTCTTTAATTAGTTGAAATGAAACTTCAAACTATTATGTTGACTTGATTAATTCATGTTTTCTTTATTCATAAGGAAAAAAAAAAATTTAAATAACAAAGACTGGGTTATTTAGTAGAAACTAGAAACATTCAATCATGACAGTAAATTTTGCTATTTTTCTCTTCAAAGGTGAATAATTGAGACACGTGATTAAATGTATCAGTCAAGAAACACTGTACCAGTCAAGAATAGTTTTTTTTTTTAACCTAGATTGAAGATACTTCTGTGTTTAGTAGAAACTAGAAACATTCAATGATGATAGTAAATTTTGCTATTTTCTCTTCAAAATGTGAATAATTGAGACATGTGATTAAATGTATCACTCAAGAAACATTGTACCAGTCAAGAATAATAATTTTTTTTTTTTTTTAACCTAGATTGAAGATACTTCTGTCTGAATTTAGTCAAGTCAATGCATTTTACTATGCTAAGTGGAAACTTGCCACTAGCCATTAACATCATCATGCTTTTGCGCACTGCATCTGTGAATAGAGCTAGTTTTTAATATCAGAACTTGAACTTGCACCACCAAGAGAATTAAGTTGGAATTGACCCTCATTTGTTTCCAAAGCTCCTTGTTTGGCTATACATTTTTTGTAGTGCATGTATAGATTGATCGTACCGATACCCTTTTGTCAAGCTGATTTTTCTTTCAGTATTTACATTGGGCTTTGTGCTCTAGCTTTTCACCTAGGGCTGCACCCATGATCACCGATTCAAAATGTTCCCAATATTTAGCAATTTGTTTTCTCGTTCGTTGTTTTCTACTTCATTTTATTTTCATGTCATCCTAAACAATTGGATTCGTACTCTCTTGATCGTCGCTCAAATCATCAATAATTTAAAAATCATTTAGACCACTAAAATCATGGTCTAATAGTGGGGAGAGTATATGTTGGAAGCATCAAACATTTTGTTTAAATCACCAGTGTTCAACAATATGATGTAATCCATTTAGAATGTATTGTAGTTCGACCTTTACTTAACAAGGAATCAAGCGATCCCAGCCAACACACTGATAGATCGAACTATAGCATGGACATTTACTGCCATAGTTTGAGGGAACATCATGTTGAGTCATTCATTGTTGTCTGCCATGTCTTATTACAGACCACTCTTAGTATGACATGTGGCAAATATGATGTCAACACCTATTCTTCATCCAATTACAAGCAAGAAATAATTTTCCCGCGCCAGATCATCATTACATGAAACCATAGTGATGCGTAGGCATCATGATGACCTACTTGGTCAACTCATCAACCAATCAAGTATCCAAAATTTTAGCCAATGGCACATGTCTAGGGTGGTATTGTGGCTGAAAGATCTTGGGCAGACAAGTGACTTGGATTTTCATCTTATAAATAGGGCCAAATGGTCCCCTCCTAAGACGGAGCTAGGACACCTCATAAAACCTCGTAAAAACACTCTAAAAAATTGTTTCTCTGAGAAATTACTATGTATCAATTCCACCGCTAATCAATAAATATTTCTCTTTAAATTGATCTAATCTTGACGCTTAATTTTTAGACAACAATTTGGCACTAGATGAAGGGCACCGGGGAAAATAGCCCACATCTTATCTGAATGTCCCACCAAAAATTACATATTATCCCATTTCCACGAGAACCATACATCACACCTCAGTTATTAGAAATCATTCTCACACTAATCCCAATGAAACAAGTGCCCCAAGAAATCTTCAAAAAAAGAAAGAATATGCTGAGGGCGGCTACCCTCAACTTGTCACCATGAAAGAGGCCATAGAATGCCTCACAACTATCGTGCAATAAAAATGGTACAAAAATTGGCAAGTATCGCACCAATGGCAAACACCGAGGTGGAATTACTTGTTAGATGAAGGAGCAATTCGGAGAAGTTTGTACTTTACTGAGGACAAACCCTCCAAAAGTAAAACAGAAGAAGCAAAAAGTCCTCTACCTCAAAAAGAATAGATACCAAGGAAAATAGGAAGCATGTTCGATACTTTAGGTACTTAGCATTCATTTTCACCTAGAAACGAGCAACCTAACCTCATCCAAAATGAGCCTACCAAAGGAGCAGGCAATGAACCAAAATAAGCCAACTGAAGAAATAAATAGCCAACATGGAGGCCAGAAACAAAAGGTGATGGAAGACATACTAGCTAAATCCTTGCCAATTAAGCTACAGATGCCACCATCTTGTTAGATACGAAAGAGAGGGTGATCCTTTCAGTTACTTAGACAAATACACGTTATGGATAGAGCTGCAAAGAGCCAGTGATGCCATAATGTGTTGGGCTTTTCCTTTAAGCCTGGGAGATAAAGCACAGAGGTAGTTTAGAAAGTTACTTCAGAGATCAATTAGAAATTTGATGGACTTCACAACATTGTTTCTAGTCCAGTTCATGTTCCAGAGCCAGGAACATGCCCAAAGAATGACTAGTAAGTATGAAGCAAGGGCGGAGTGAATCCTTTAAAGTTACCTCAATAGGTTCAACAAACAAACTGTGGAGGTGAAAAAATCCCTAATAACGCAACTTTCATAGTAGCACTATGTGGATTAAATCCCAGGACGAGGTTGTGGTGGTTAATACACAAAGATGGGCCTAAAACTTACCTTAAATTCCTGAATTAATGAGAACTACTTAAGTATAGAAGACATAACCTCAGATCATGAAAGGAAAAACAGAACTGCACGCCTAAGTTCATGCAAAAGATAAAAAGTTAGAGACGACTCGTGCCTAAAAGGAAAAAAGACAATAAGGTACAGAGTGGTCTCACCCATATCCAGAATGATTTCAAGAGTACCACCCTTCAAAAACTACCCAGAAAGGAGTTTTATGCAAGTAGGGTGTGTTGCATAGA